CCATGGAGCTGACACCGTGATATGGGAATATCCCCATATCATTGTGGAGAGATGTTGATGGTGAATCGCCATATAATCCAATATAATCCCCAACATAATCCCCATAGAATCAATTTTTTTTAAATACTACATATATATATATATGCATTTTTTTACGGGTGCGTTTAACACAAGTTATCCAGAGATATATCATGATATATCCCATGAGATCCGCATGGTTCCCAGGAGGAGTCCGGGAAGACGGGTGAACTCCAGGCACGCTGATGGCCGATGGTTGTGGCAGCACAGCTGCTATTGGTTAACCAAGGTGAAACCCTGGTGATTGCTTTTATATACATACACACATATATATATAAGTAAATGAATATATATACATATATGTGTATGTATGTATATATATATATGCATGTCCAAACTAAAAACCATCCACCAAGTAAGCAAGTTTCTGAAAAACATACTAATATCTGAAAGACAGAAATGGACATGACATCTTCTCCTTTCAGATCCTTCGATGGTGTGCATACCACCTTGAGAAGAATGAACAAGTCGTGCGGCAGTACTGCCTAGTGGCAAAGTTAGATGCGGTAACATAAGCCATCTGGATGTGGTAAACCCAAATGGGTCGTAACTCAACTCTCGTCCCCAAATGGGAGTTGTGTATGGCATGGGGTTTATCACGGTTTTTCATATTATACAATGTAGCTGGTCGGTTTTTTGGAACATTAATTTTATAACTTTCCATATATTGGGAATTTCATAATCCCAATTGATTTTCATATTTTTCAGAGGGGTAGGTATACCACCAACCAGATTAGGTGGCCCCAATTGTGTAAGTCTAAGTCTAATCCTGCAATGCCGCTGGAGCTAGGCGACGGGCGTTCGAGACGGATCCCTTCCACAGCTGCTTCCCTGTCTGTTGGGTCCCACGGTCACACGGATGGATCTGGGCAGGGACAATGCCATCCAAAATGTTTAAGCGTCAAAACTCTAGAATCATACAACTAATATTAGTAGTTAACAACGTCATCAGGGAATTAATGTTTCCATTGACAAGTCACATGATTTGGCATCAACAGTTGATTTGGACAACGATTTTCTGGTGGAATATGGCCGCTGGGTTTCCAAGTGACATTTCTGGGCTGTGTTGCGACAAAGCGTCCCCGTGAGGGTTGCATCTCAATCAGTCAGTGGCTAGAATCCATGTATAAATCATATATATGTCATGTTATGTCCCACATACAATTGGGTTACTGCATAACATCCCTATGGATCCAAACACCTCCTGAGAAGGTATCGCTAACCCTCCCAGTCATCATACCCCAAAAACTTCCTAAGAAGGTACGGCTGGATCCATAGGGTATGATAGCATGGTTATTGATGTCAACCCTGGATTAATAAACCCCAAAGGGCTGTTTAATTGGGGGTACCATTTCATTCCCATTATTATATATGATGATACCAGGCCTGATTATATCCCATTATTGTCCCATTATTATCCCATTATTATCCAATTTTGGAAGCCATAAAAAAATCACTGGGGGAACCGCAATTAATCAACCAGTGACTATGTGTTCGTCCCAATGGGACTGAGGCATTGCCGCTACTCTCAGGCGGAAGGGGAAGGGATCAGCATCTCCCAGTCGTTTTGGCCTTCCAAGATTGATCCATGATTGACGGTGTGTACACACACATATATATATATATTGCGTATATATATATATATGTAATAATATGTATATATAATATTATATATACAATATATATATATATGTATATATATATATATTACATACGTATATATATAATTATATATATATATACATATGTATCATATATTCGTTCTAATATAATAATCTCAAAAAACGGCTCAGCCATTTTTGAATTGTGAATCATTGTGAATTGACCTAAAAAAAAGATTCCAGGGAATGTTAAACATCTTCATGTGAGCTGGCAGGGGAAAAACATCCAATACCAAGCCATGTTTTTATTGAGGGGAAATTTCTCATTTTAGGGGGAATGTTCATGATAATCTATATAAACGATTTGGAGACACAATGCTTCTGAAAGCAATGATCCAGACCTTTCCAATATAGGTGATTTTCTCAAGCAGCTGAAGAATCTAACAGTGACAGTGAGACTGGGCGCGCAAACTACAGCGATCCCCAAGAGAAAAGTGAATCAGCATCAGAAAACGCAGGACATAGCACATGTCTATCTATCTTATGTTTGGGACGATTGGAATTTCAATATATTATAAGCAGGTTATACATGGTTATACAACCTAGGCCCTGATTCTCTTGTAGTGTTCTTGACTGTCTCAAGATGTCTCATGTAGTGCTTCTCAGACGGGATGGTAGTGCTGTGGCTTGTGGAGGCAACCGGAGTGGACAATGCAACATTCCACCCTTGGAGAAGGGAATTTCGTACACTCAAGTGTCTGCAGGTGGCTTTCACACTGTACTTCTCCGATCAGATGGCTCCGCTGTGGCGTTCGGAGACAACAGCCTTGAACAATGCAACATCCCACCTTTGGTAGAAGGAATGTTGTATACTCAGGTTTCTGCATGCATGGGTCATACTGTGCTTCTTCGAAGTGATGGCTGCGCTGTGGTTTGCGCAGACTACTACAGCAGCCAATGCGACTTTCCGCCTCTGGATGAAGGAATGTCATACACCCAAGTTTCTGCTGGCACCAGTCATACCGTGCTTCTCCAAAGTGACGGCTGTGCAGTTGCGTGCGGAGAGAATTATGCAGGACAATGCAACATTCCTACCTTGAAGGAGGGAATGACATACACCCAGGTTTCCGCTGGCAACGGCCATACAGTTCTTCTCCGAAGTGACGGCTGTGCCATTGCTTGTGGAGAGAACTATTGGGGACAGTGCAGCATTCCACCCTTAGATGAGGGAATGACATACACCCAGGTGTCTGCAGGTAGCGGTCATACAGTGCTTCTCCGAAGTGATGGCTGCGCCGTTGCTTGCGGGAAAAATGATTCTGGACAATGCAACATTCCACCTTTAAATGAGGGAATGATGTACACTCAGGTGTGTGCAGGCGGGTTTCGCACTGTACTTCTTCGCAGTGATGGCCATGCCTTAGCTTGTGGGGAAAAATTGTCTGGGGCATGTGATATAGATGATATAGTACCACCTGAGCCTGGGACTTCCTACTGCCATGTTGGTGAGAACCTGCCCCTTTGTGACCTTGTTCTGCAAGTCGAATTTCTTCGTGAAGATGACACCGTCACTTTCATATGCTCAACTTTGGCAGGGAAGGACATATTATGCCTCAATGCACGTGGATTCGATCTGGCATTGGATATTCACAATGCCATTGCACGTAAATTGAATGCCAGTAGTCTTCAAGTGCTCTTGCCCGATGGACAGTTGTTGGGCTCCATATGCCGTGCACATCCACTTGTCACAGTTGCAGATGTTGAACAAGGCCAGCGTCCCGCCTAGTTTTTAGCCAGTTGTGCAAGATTGCACCAGATCCCATGTGTCATAAAAACTGGTGGCTGTCTCCCTATATTGGTGGCCGGTCACTTCACCTGATGGTACCCCATTGGTCGATTCTATGAGCTTAGAATCCTTACTCGATTAGTTGGATTAGTTGGTGGTTGTTTCTTTATAAAATTTGATATACGCGTTTTTCTCGTTTGAAGTGATCATCCGATCCCCAAGTGAATTTTCACCAATCACTTGTTTTCAACAAATGAGTCCTTTTATGCATTGTAGCAGTGGCCGGACACCTTTTGTTTCGACCGCTTGACAATCTGGCACCATTCGCAACCAAGCCCACTGATCCTAACTATATATTATATAATATACTATTATATTATATAATATATTATCATATTATATAATATACTATTATATTATATTCTATTATATTGTAATATAATATATTATTTTATAATATATTATATTACTATATATTCTATTATACATTATCTTATTATATTATATCATATTAATTCAAATTATATATATATGTCGATCATTTATTTCCTTATATTTTTGTATATTATATTGTATTTTATGTTTATACTATATTTATTTTTGCTACATTATATTATATTTGTATTATATTTAATATTATATTTATATTAATATATTAATATTATATGATATTATATTTTATTGTATTATATTACATATTATATTTGTAAAAAAAATATGTACTGTATATATATATATATTCACCCAAAGCCCCTGTACCAGTACCTCGGACAAAAGATAGAGACAGTCCTGCCTCATTGCAAGAGGTCCCCCCAACCGGTTGTTTCATGTTTTGTTTCAAACCACATTTGATATCATGATGAGGATGATGACGATGATGATGATGATGATGATCCTTTCTGGTATATATATATATATATTGTAGATATTTATATACATACAGTATCAACCCTTGATAAAGCAACCTATTTGATTGAAAAAGCTGTGCGCCAACAAGGTTCTGTCGTGTTACTGGAAGTTGTTTCTGCCCAAACTAAACAAGCAGGGCTTTAATTCTCCGAGGTTGACACTATCGAATTGTTGGAGAGATCGCCTTGTCATTCTATGGCTTTCCATAGCCGGGTCAGTGCTCGGGGGATCACATGTTTTTTTTTGATCCTCTCCAAGTTCTCATCTATGTTGATAGATGATAAGCAATCATAGTTTTAAATATTAAAGTCATTAAAATAAAAGGGAACCACATTTCAAACTAACAACACATTAACCTATATATATATGTGTGTACTTAATGTATAATATATCTATCTACAGATAGATTTACTAAGAATGGCACCAGGGGGTAGTGTTTTTGTAACCAGGACCGTGCCGGCTGCGATGCCTGGCTACGGGACTTGAGCGTCCGGACTGACATCAACCTCAAGGTGAGTTGAGTTGGGAGCTGCTGATGTTGCGGCGGAATTTGACATCAAAACCTATATGAGCCACCGCAAAAACCCCGGCAATACTAAATATGTATTGGACGGACATTGGTTTATGGACATTGATGAAAATTGTTAAAAACACTTCGAGATTGCTCATATGTTTCCATTAAATTTAGGGACATCAAGAACTACCAAGGGATGAGAATCGTACATTGAGTTGTTTTTCACATATTGACTACAGATGTATGCGGCTTCAAATTGTTTGTTCATGTATTGTATGTAAGTAGCAGAAGTGTATCTGGAACGAGCTAATTCTATTGCAGCATGTCAACACAGGATCATCCCTTTGTTTTTGGAAGGGCATCATTTTAGTGATAGGCTGTACTATATTACATTATATTGATTATATTGTATTGTAGTTTTTTCTACATTATTTCATAGTCTATTTTATTATACTGTACTATATTGTACATATATGTAATGTACATATCTTTCTTTTTGGGGGTTAATCCCCCAATCTTTTTGAATCCACTAGACCGGGTCGACATGAAAAAAAACACTCCCTACTTTTGTCCACTCCCTGCCAGAAATCATTGGTGTAAACTATTGACGCCACTGCATGCTTTGAATGGGCTTGCCCACCCTTTACTTTGCTTGACCATCCGGAGAATCAGCGTCTGGTGAGGCGGCTGAGCATCTTTGGAAATAGTTGAGCTGTAAGAATTGGATGCGAGAATATGTTCAGCAACCTCCTACATTGAATGGATTTGACATTTGATGTATTCTTCCACAATATTTCATATAGGAAAGGTCTTTCATGTTCTCAAGTGAATATCTTCAACCTCTTATTGTACTGAATGCTGTTCAATGAGGGAAGGAATGTGTTCCTGTACATCTTTGCTGAGGCTTTCATGGCACAAAGAGTCATCAACTTACCATCGAACAATTGAACCTGGCAATCCTATAAATGAACCTGGCAATGGAAAATCAATAATTTATTGCTGATGATTCTTGAAATTAAAAAGTTGGGATTTCTCATTGAAAAGTTGGGATTTCCCATTGTCATGTTGAACTACGAGAGAGTACCTGCACTCGGTAGCATAACTAAAGTATCTTCCAATCATTCTTTTCTCAGCATCTGCGACCCAGTTTTGTCCTTGCTGAATCACAAAGCCTGTTCAGACCCTGTCAGCATACTTCTCCATGTCTCAGAAAGCGTCGATGTGGGGATGGGTCAATACCTTAACAACTTAGACCAGTCTGTTTATTCTTTGGATTTTCACTAGTGTCAACCAGTGGTGTCCGTTTTCCACCACATTTTCTTTGTCTGAAAATAGGGTACCCCAACATATTTGTTATTTCATCATATTTCATCATATGTTCTATCATATGTTCTATCATAATATTTACTACCATCATGTTCTCTATCATTTTTTTATTATCATATTTTCTATCATCATATTTTCTATCATCATTTTGTTCATCATATTTTCTGTCATCATTTGTTTTCTATCATCATATTTTATATCATTAACTTTTTCTATCATCATATTTCGAGTCATCATATTGTTTGTCATCATATTGTTTGTCATCATATTTTCTATCATCATATGTTCTATCATCATACGTTCTATCATCATATTCTCCATCATCATACGTTCTGTCATCATATGTTCTATCATCATATTCTCTATCATCATACTTTCTGTCATCATATTTTCTATCATCATATTGTCATTCATCACATGTTCTATCATAATATTTTATGTCATCATATTTTTCTATCATCATATTTTCTATCATCATATTTTCTATTCTCATATTTCTATTATGATATTGTTTGTCATAATATTTTCTAGCATCATATTTTCTAGCATCATATGTTCTAGCATCATATGTTCTATCAATATTGCTCAACAATTGGATACAATTGGTACATACCCCTCTTTCTTTGCGGAGCTCCTGCATCGCTTGTGCCTGGGGATGGTCTCAATCGAAAAAATGGTGGAGTGAAAGCTCCAAGCTTTGGAGAAAAACAGAACGGTCTCATATATTGGCTAATATAATTGGGTATATATATATATTGGTATAATGTATATATATATATATCTATAATGGGTAATATAATGGGCATATATTTGGGTAATATAATTGGGTATAATGGTAATATATTGGGTAATATAATTGGGTAACTAACCCAGGGATGGGGGCCGATCAGGTATTATTGGCTATTATTGGCTAATATCATGGCTAATATAATGGCTATCATATATTATTAGTGGGCTATAATGGCTATTATATTATTATGTGCAACCAATATGGTATCGAGAATATCATGGCTATCATATATTGGTTGCACATAATACACACCATTCTTGATAATAGCCATTATATTCCGATTCTGAGAATATCAATGCCATACCTGGTGGTTCACCCCAGGAATCATAAGTGGGTTTTAAGCCTACTTAAAATTAGACTACTTACCCAACTAAAAACTAGCTCACCTGCCACAGGCCTCGCGTGCGTGCCAGAAGCTGGCACCAAAGAGCCAGAAGCAAGGTGTCCGTGGTTAGGAAGTTCCTGGGGATTTCCAATTTAAATGGCATATTTGAATGGGGATGTAATAGGACTACACTTTAATGGGGACATGATGGGTATAACTTACTTGGAGGCAAGTCAAGTTTTTTAAGGGTAGAAACGGCAATAACCAGCTGTCTTTTGCAGGGTATCAAAGCTTCAACACAGTTTTTTGGGGTTTGAATTAGTTGAAATGGTGAAATAGTACCCCAATTTTGGGGATGTCTTTAGAGGAAATCTGTTGGGAACTGGATAGTTCTTTAAGGTTGCTGCCGCCAGTGTTGAATTCCAGCGAGACACCACAAGAGGTGCTGATCTCGAAGCTGGTTACACACTTCGGTGGACTGATTTTCCCTGAAATTCATTTGCAACTGCCAGCAGGGGCCCATCTAAATTTGGGAGGGTACCCTAAACCAGTGGGCAACTATTTAGATGATTTAGATATTTGAGGCAACTAATTTGGGAGGGTACCCTAATATCTAAATCATCTAATTTTGAGGTAATTACTAGGAAACACTCATCCCGGAGAGATCCTCAAGCATCATGACTCCATGACTCCGCACGGCAATAGCACGGCAATAGGGCACAGATGGATTCCCCGGTTGGCGCGTGGAGTGTTTGTTGTGAATTTGCCAACTGGACGCGCGTTTGCAGAAAAAAAATGGTCCCTGCTTGTGCGAAATATTATATGGGGTACCTCCAAATCCACTGGCGCAGCATTTTTCCAACTGGCTACAAATGGGGGTTTACTCCATTTTTAGACAAACTCATATGCGTTTCCAGTTGCTGTTGGTGGTACACAAGGGTGGTGGAAATGGCAGTTGTATGTGGATTGGACAAGAGTTGGCCGTTCGCAATTCTAAATCGATGGGGTGTGAAAAGACTTCCATATGCAGTATAGCCACACCGCACATACCATGAATAAGGCAAACACACCTCCATACCCCAAAGAAAAAATGCAGCATTCATTTGGTCAAGAAAAAGAGTCATGAGAAGCTTTTGATTTCTCCATTCTCTTCGAAATCTTCATTTCTTGTGACTGCTAACCGACCTTTGGGGTCAGAACCAGGGCTGTTTTGGTTCCAAGTGGATCCGTTCCGCGCACGCTGTGACTGTGTCCTGGCATTCGGCGAAGCAACCGTTGCGCGGAACCGGGGAGATCTGGGGATTGTTTATTTGGAAGTGAAAAATAAGGAATTCACCCTTAAACAATGAGATTTCATGAGACAGATAGTTTTCTTTAGCCAACTTGGATCAAGTGTTATGATCTAGTGATATCTAGTGAATCTAGTGGCTAGTACGTGCTGGAATGCAGATGTTGGCCCAATGTTGGCAACTGTTTCCACTGTACTGATGCCGACGGCCACTTTTTTGTTGTTTCAGTTTCATGAATGGATCAAAAAGCAGTAGTAGAACCCAAGGCTCAAGCAGATTTTTTTCCGAATCGTGATGTGTTCCCGATTTCGCTGGGTTGGATCACTGGAAAGTTTCCACTGCGTTGATCTGTTGATTTTCGCAGCGATGCGGAGAGTTCTCCTCTGATTTTCCCTTGAAAATCATTTTTTTTTCGGATTTGAAACACTTGCTATCCACTCTCATTTTTTTCGGGTGCTTCTCAAATCGAGTCAACTATCCTATTTCACCATGGTTAAAAATTGCCTTCTGTTTTTCATGACCAGCTTAAAAATTGTAGGTGCTATAATTTTGGTCCCAGGATTTTCTGAAGAACCACCAAAATTGCCTCAACTGCGAAATTCCTTGCGGGCACGCAAAATGGTGTGGATAACGCTAACCATGTCCCTTTGGGCGCAGATGGGCGTGGCACGGTGGGAGAAGGTCACACGGGGGTGTAAAACGGATCTCAGTTTGCGGATAGGTCAAGATTGGTCAAGCATCCATCAAATCGCAGGGAAGCAATGAAAAATGATCCAAGCAAAAATAGTACCCTCTGGTAATTTAACATAGCTATGGAAAATCACTATTTTTATGGGAAAATCCACTATAAATAGCCATTTTCCATTGCTATGTTAGTTCACCAGAGGGTAGTAGAAATAAATGAGACATCGACAGATGGAGATGGGATATGTCGAAACGAGATGTGGGCATCAACTACCACAAGTAGCCAACATGGGGTCAGTATATACCCATCATGTACCCATTACTTCCGGTTCTACGCCACCAACTTCCAAAATGTTTAGGACACACATCGCCCCAGAAACCCTGGTGAAATGCATGGAAACTCTTCATTTCGGTGCCCATATGGTGCCGTTTATTGTAATCAGGGGATAGGTTTGTTGCTCCATTTATATCTGATCACAATAAAATGAAATATATATATATATATATATGGAACAAACCTTTCCCCTATACCATGGAGTCATTTTCCCCATAGAATATGTATTTGTAGGCAATGTATACCATCACCAGTTTTGCTGTGTGAATCTTCTACCGCAACCCCCCAAAAAGATGAGCCTTTTTTAACACACCATAACACAGCCCTATCCCATCTTGTGAAATACTAGTTGGTTGATATAGATTTCCCACTATCGGTTATCATAATCCTGATAGATTGGGTCCAGTAGCATAAGTCTGAAATGTTCTGAACCAATCAACCAGGGTATTTTTAATGGTTCAGATGGACAAAATATGGAAAACTGGGATTTTTCTGAGAGAAATATCTAAAAGAGCAACCTGCATCTCTTTGGAACCCTAGTGGCCACCATATGATCCCCAAGGCGTTCACTCCAAGTAGAATTCGAGGCGGCGGCAGCGGAAAACCATGGAAAAACACCCGAGTTTTTGTACGTTTTAGTGGGAAAAACATTGAACATCCACGATAACCCATAGTTTTAATATGTTTTAGTGGAAAAAAATCGATGGTTCCTGTAGATTTTTGCCTAAAGCAATCCGTTGAGATAGGCTATCGATGCGCAAGGTCTTTGAAAGGCCTTTGATCAAAGGTACAATGGACATCAGTACCTCTAGACACTCAAAGAACCCATTGAAAGAAACAGAAAAAACTTGAAAAAGGTTAGCATTCTGGGGTGAAGTACCATTTTTTATGGCTAACTGCAGGGTCTAGGTAGATTAAATGAGTACATGAGCAAATGATAATACATGAATACATGCATTACATATCAGAATCAGAATATACATACACATTTTTCAAAGGTTTTGTCCAAATCCACACATTGAACCTCAATGGCATCAGACTTGGCGTTGCAGGTGCGATAAGTCTAGTTGAGATGCTGGCGAATCAGGCAGGGGTGATCACCATTCTTAGGATGGTGATGTGTAGCCCACAAAAATCCGCAAAATATGGGGATACTTGTATCCAATTTGTTAGTATAATGGGATATGGTGGTATTACCATATGGATTTTTGAGTTTGACACATGATGATCGATTGCGGATTTTGGGTGCACCCGATTTTCAGACAAACCGATGTGTAGCATGGATATATATATATATGCATACAATTCTATAGAAATAATATATATATACATACAAATAGATCGTATCACATGTATTGGGCCGATGAACAAAATGGAGCGTTTATTTTCTCCAAATCGTAGATTGATAATATGACCATTTCACTGTGGGAAACCTGGTTTGGCCATCCCTTTGTTGGAACTGAAGCTGAGAAAATATTGGATGTGAAGTAGTTTGGCCATCCCAGAGTCACCAGAGTTCTTTTTTCAGATCCAAGTTTACTTTTCTTTTAACTAATATAGCTATTGGAAATGGCCATTTATAGTTGATTTACCCATTAAAAATTGTGATTTTCCATAGTTATATTAGTTTACCAGAGGGTACTTTTCTTTTGCATTGATTTCGTGTCCAATTCATAGATGCCTGTCAGATCCATGGTTTTAACCCCCGATGTATCCCAATGCTGAGGCCAGGTGAAGTATGCCCTCTGGCCCTGGGCCCTTTGAAACGTGGCGTTTCACCCGATCCGGTGGCTATCTGAAGTATCTCAGACTCAGACTGGTTTCAACACGGGAAAAAACGTATGAACACTGACTGATTTGTGTCGTGATTTTACATTATATAGATGAAACTAGTTGAAATTGCAAGCTGTACTGGTCATAGACCGGCAACTCTTCCATACTCTTCCTATTCGTCTCAATATGAAATCAGAGTTTGAGATGAAGTGGCTCATGTCCACCGCAACGAGCCGGAACAGATGGGTGCTGCACACGAAAAGAGACCTTTCAGATACCTTTGGCAATTTGACAGGATTGGGTCTATCTCAAAAAAAAATCTGGATTCTAGATCTAAATCTGACTTTGATTTGAACAATCATTATTCATATAGAGATTTCTCATAGGACATATCATATTACAGTATATTGCAGTATATTGCAGTAATATATTGAAATTAGTTGGAACTAGTTTGCACTTAGTCTACTTAGCATTATTGTTTGTTATTTATTTTTATTTTGGTTGTTTTTTCCAGGCGTCAACCGAGACCTTGGGGGGGTCAGAACCAGGGCCATTTTGGTTCTCGATCCGAACGCGGCACGCCGTGTGTCCAGGCGCGGCAGGCCCGGCAGCGCCCAAGCCGGAGATCTCTGGATTCTGCATGTTTTGCGCTGAAAAAATGGATGTACTTAATGTTAATGTGATATTTCTGGGCATATTATATGGGTGTGGTACCTCAAAATTTGGATGGGAAAACCATGGAAAAACCACAAGATGGCTCGATGTTTAGAACCTCATGTTTTCCCAAGTAAAACCGTCATTTTGAGATTATACCCAATTTTCACACAAATAGAACCGCACTGGATTTACAAGATCAGAGGTCAGAGGTCAGTTTTTGCTCAAACACATATCATACAATGTCCAAATGCTCGTGGTTTCGTTCGAAGATTCGGGTCATGTGGTGACTTTTGGGATCTTTTTTGTTATTTTTTGATTTGTCGTTTCTCCAACTTGGACACCAGGATGGCAAGTGTTTTGTATTGTTTTGTAATGCAACATGAAGTGGTTGATCATAGTAATGTAAGGTCAAATCCCATCCGTAAGCCCAGAAA